ACAAAAATAATAATAATAATAATAAATAGAGTTGAGAAAATGAAAATGAGAACGCCTAGCTCTGTCTGCTCTTAGTTACCCACTGGGTACCTGCAGGCCACACCTTTTAAGTCCGTGTTACACTGAAAACAACTCAAAGCAGACAGAATAGAGGATACAATCTCCCCTGGACCTGTGCTGGGGTTGAACATGGAGCCTTCCCACTGACCTATACCCCCTGCCCTTTTTATTTCGAGACAAGGTTTCACTAAGTTGCTCAGGCTGGGCTTGAAGTTGCCATCCTCCTGCCTCAGCCTCCCAGAGCAGCTCTGGATGCCATCTTCTACCATGTCCACACCCAGGGTCGAGGGTGTTGAGAAAGCCACAGACCCACAGGCTAGCAGATGTGGGAACACTGTTTCTAGTTTAGCTCTCACCTAGTTTCTGCCTGCTTTTGGCCATTTTTCAGTGGATTCAAAGTTGGGTTTTTTTTTTAGTAATTTTGTCTCATTCTGCAAATTGATTTACTAACTAGTATTTACACCCCAGAATTTATTGCTATTGTTGACCATTAAAGTTACTGCACCACGTAGGTGTGGGCCGGCTGAGGTCCGGGCACTGTGGAGTCCACGCCTGAGCCCTGGCCAGGCAAACCAGGTGACGCCAGTGGCATCCTCCAGGCTAAGCCAGGCTTCCGCAGGGCTCCTGTAGGAACTGACACCGGCTGAGGCAGCGTCAGTGCTGAGAATCCCAGCACCGAAGATCAGAGGTAGCTTGGTGGTGTGTGGGCTATGGGGCACGGAGACCCCCAGGACGCCATCGCCAGAGCTGATGGCGGCTGAGCTGGCTACCCACGGTGACCTGATGGCCGTGGTGGGCACTGCCAAGGTTGGTGGCATCCCCCTTGCTCACTATACCGCCAAGCAGTTGTGAAATGTACCCGTTTCTGGAGGGCAAAAGCCAGCTGCCCCCTAAGGATGCCCCCAGCCCCAGGGTACCCCAGCTATCAGCAAGCCTCTTGAGGAAGCCCCAGGATCAATCTCCAGTACGAGGAGGAAAAAATTTTTTTAAATTTACCTTGCAATGCTGCCAAGTGCTTCTTTCCCTACACACCAATTCAGACTCAGGATGACCTTTAACACAGTTAGGCACTGTTTTTTGAGAGAGTGCCTCAATATGTAATCCAAGGCGGGCTTGGACTTGCAACCATAGTGCCTCAGCCTCCCAAGTGCTACAATTACAGGCATGCACCACCATGCCTGGCTTTCCTATGGTCTTCGGGCATGCTCCAATAGATCGAGAGATGAACCAAAGAAATGATCAAACATTTGAATGCTTCTCATATAACCAAGAAGAATGTGAACAAAACAGAGTCAATCTTTGCAATGAAAGCTCAAACAGTTAAGGTTGTTTTAAGTTTTTTGAAAGACCAACAAAATTCCTACCAGTAAATCTTAAAAGTATTGTGAAGTGTAAGGAATACTGAATGTGGTTAAGGTTCTTCTAGTTCCAACCAAAACTCTGAGATTTTAACAATATCAGAACCATCAAAACCAGATCTATGTTCTTTAATCGTGTGGCCCTCATCAAATAGTTTTCAAGGGGGCTGGGGATTTAGCTCAGTGGCACAGCACCTGCCTGGCAAGTGCAAGATTGTGAGTTCAATCCCCGAAAAAAAAATAGTTTTCAAAAATGGTGCACTTTTGCCGGGCGTGGTGGCGCACACCTGTAATGCCAGGACTCGGGAGGCTGAGGCAGGAGGATCATTGCGAGTTCAAGACCACCCTGGGCTACAAAGTGAGCTTGTAGGGGGCAATTAATCTTAGCATATTATTTTAGATAAAATAGTTTTGGTAAAAGTGTACATGGTGCCTTGGGAAGCCTCCCGGGACAGTGTAAGAGCTAATTCCCCAGATCAACACTGCCCAGGAATGTCTCCCCAAGATAAGGGG